TACTACTACTACTACTACTACTACTACGGCTACTACTACGACTACTACTACTCCTACGACTACTACGACTACTACGACTAATACTGCTACTACTACTACTACTACTACTACTACTACTGCTACTACTACTACTACTACTACTACTACTACTACCACTACTACTACTACCACTATTGCTACTGCTACGACCGCTACCTCTAGCACTACTACCAATACCGCTACTATTACCAGTACGAGTACGAGTACTACGATTACTAATACTACTACAAATTACCCTGGCGACGTACCCAACCCCTGCGCAATGCGGGGCATGAGTAGCTTGGAAGACGTTATACGGAGGTAATTACGTGACATGGGCGCAGATACGTCTGCGAGCGGCATGCGTGAGGCGCGCAGCCCCCCACAGATCTGCCTGATGCCTCGCTCCGCTGAACCCGCCAGCAGCCCTCGAAAGTTGCAACGGGCTCGCAGATCGCAGCCCCCCCCCCCCCCCCGGGACGGCGAGGCACCGCTCAGATCTGCGCGGGGCCTCACTCCGCTGGACCCACCAGCAACCCTCGAAAGTGGGGACACTTTCGCAAATCGCAACCCCCCAGGCACGGCGAAGGCCCGCGCAGACCTGCGCGGCGCCTCACTCCGCAGGACCCACCAGCAGCCCTCGAAAGTGGCGACAGCTTCGCACATCGCAGCCCCTCAGGGACGGCAAGGCCCCGCTCAGATCCGCGCGGCGCCTCACTCCGCTGGACCCACCAGCAGCCCTCGAACGTGGCGACAGTTTCGCAGATCGCAGCCCCCCAAGGACGGCGAGGTCCCGCTCAGATCTGCGCGGTGCCTCACTCCGCTGGCCTCGCCAGCAGCCTTCGAAAGTGGCGACAGTTCCGCGGATCGCTATGCTGGCCCCCCAAGCTGCCCTCGCAAGTGGCGACGGTTGAACAGATCGCAGCCCCCCAGGGGCGGCGAAGTCCCGCTCAGATTTGCGCGGTGCCTCACCCCGCTGGACCCACCAGCACCCCTCGAAAATGGCGACGGTTTCGCAGATCGAAGCCCCCCAGGGACGGCGAGGTCCCGCTCAGATCTGCGCGGTGCCTCACTCCGCAGGACCCACCAGCAGCCTTCGCAAGTGGCGACGATTTCGCAGATCGCAGCCCCCCAGGCACGGCGAGATCCCGCTCGGATCTGCGCGGCGCCTCACTCCGCTGGACCCACCAGAAGCCCTCGAAAGTGGCGATCGCTTCGCAGATCGCAACCCCCCAGGCACGGCAGGGTCCCGCTCACATCTGCGCGGTGCCTCATTCCACAGGACCCACCAGCAGCCCTCGAAAGTGGACACGGTTTCGCAGATCGCACCCCCCCAGACACGGCAGGGTCCCGCTCAGATCTGCGCGGTGCCTCACTCCGCAGGACCCACCAGCACCCCTCGAATGCGGCGACGGTTTCGCAGATCGAAGCCCCCCAGGGACGGCGAGGTCCCTCTCAGATTTGCGCGGTGCCCCACTCCGCAGGACCCGCTAGCAGCCCTCGCAAGTGGCGACGGGTTCGCAGATCGCAACCCCCCAGGGATGGCAAGGTCCCGCTCAGATCTGCGCGGTGCCTCACTCCGCTGGACCCACCAGGAGCCCTCGAAAGTGGCGACGGTTTCGCAGATCGCAGCCCCCAGGGACGGCAAGGTCCCGCTCAGATCTGCGCGGTGCCTCACTTCGCAGGACCCACCAGAAGCCATCGAAAATGGCAACAATTTCGCAGATCGCAGCCCCCCAAGGACGGCGAGGTCCCGCTCAGATCTGCGCGGTGCCTCACTCCGCAGGACCCACCAGCAGCCCTCGAAAGTGGCAGCCCCCCAGGGACTGCGAGGTCCCGCTCAGATCTGCGCGGTGCCTCACTCCGCAGGACCCCCCAGCAGGCCCCGAAAGTGGCGATAGTTTCACAGATCGCAACCCACCAGGGATGGCGAGGTCCTGTTCGGATCCGCGGTGAGTGCCCTCTCTGCTGGCCTCACCAGCAGGCCTCGAAAGTGGCGACAGTTTCACAGATCGCAGCCCCCCAGGGATGGCGAGGTCATGTTTGGATCCGCGGTGAATACCCTCTCTGCTGGCCTCCCCAGCAGCCCTCGAAAGTGGCGACAGTTTCACAAATCGCAGCCCCCAAGGGATGGCGAGGTCCTGTTTGGATCCGCGGTGGGTGCCCTCTCTGCTGGCGTCACCAGCAGCCCTCGAAAATGGCTACAATTTCACAGATCGCAGCCCCCCAGTTATGGCGAGGTCCTGTTTGGATCCGCAGTGCGTACCCTCTCTGCTGGCCTCCCCAGCAGCCCTCGAAAATGACTACAATTTTACAGATCACAGCCCCCCAAGGATGGCGAAGTTCTGTTTGGATCCGCGGTGCGTACCCTCTCTGCTGGCCTCCCCAGCAACCCATCGAAAAGGCGACAATTTAACACGTCGCAGCCCCCCAGGGACGGCAAGGTCCCGTTTGGATCCGCGGTGCGTGCCCTCTGTGCTGGCCTCCCCAGCAGCCCTCGAAAGTGGCGACAGTTTCACAGATCGCAACCCCCCAAAGACGGCGAGGTCCCGTTTGGATCCGCGGTGAGTGCCCTCTCCGCTGGCCTCCCCAGCAGCCCTCGGAAGTGGCGACCGTTTCGCAGATCGCAGCCCCCAGGGACGGCGAGGTCCCGTTTGGATCCGCGGTGGGTACCCTCTCTGCTGGCCTCCCCAGCAGCCCTCGAAAGTGGCGACAGTTTCGCAGATCGCAGCCCCCCAGGGGGGGAGAGGTCTCGCTCAAAGCTGCGCGGTGCCTCAACCCACACGGCGAGAGGAGACAAGCGGGAGGCGGGAGGCGGGAGGCGGGAGAAGGACGCGACCACGGTGCTCTATTCAAAATGAATACCCAACCAAGGAATGTTGGGAACAACATATAATAAATCAGTGCCTGGAGCTCCCCATATGTGCAAATAGTTGCACGGACTGCGTGTGAGTGAGTCCGAATACAAGTATGATGGGCACGAGTCTGAGCACAAGTGAGTCTGGGACATTCTCTCAATCTGCCCCTCGTGGGGTGCGACAGCCAGTGAGCCCGAGCATGAGTATAGTGAGTACGCGTCTAAGTCTGAGAGGGTCTGAGTACGAGCGAGTTTGACTACGAATGAATATGAGGGTGGGTGGGTCTGAGTGTAAGTGGTTCTGAGCGTGAGTAAGTCTGACTGTGAGTGCGTCAGAAAATGAATATGGTGGATACGAAACTAGCCCCGAGCGGGTCTGAGTACGAGCGAGCCTGACTACGAATGAGTATGAGGATGGGCGGGTCTAAGTGTGAGTCTGAGCGTGTGTAAATCTGGGTGTGAGTGGGTCTGAGTATGAGTATGATGAGTGCGAGTCTGACTGAGCCTGAGCACGAGTGAGTTTGAGCATAAATAAATCAGGACATCCTCGCAATGTGGGCCCTCTGGGATTGCGAAAACCGCGCCTCGCCATACACATCGTGAGAATCTGCCTTTGACAGCAGACGATTATGACTACAGGAACAAGCAAACCGCTCGAGACATCCTCAAAATCTGCCCCCAATCCCCCCCCCCATGGTGTGCGAAAACCAGCGCATCGCCTGAGACACCCTCAGAATCTGCTCCGACAGCGGAGGATGTTCGCAACCAAAACAGGCAAACCGCCTGAGACATCCCCACCAGTTGGGCGCGAACGGAGGCCGTGCAAGACTCCTGGCGGCTCCCCCTTAGGAGTGCTTAAAAAACCAGCAAGCCGCCTGAGACATCTTCAGAATCTGCTCCGAAAGCAAAGGAAGTCGCAACCAAAACAAGCAAACCGCCTGAGACATCCCCACCATTTGGGCGCGAACGGAGGCCGTGCAATACCCCCGGCGGCCCCCCCTTAGGAGTGTTAAAACCAGCAAACCGCCCGAGACATCCTCATATTCTGCTCATTGCCACCATCACCATCAACATCATCACCATCATCATCATCATCATCATCATCATCATCATCATCATCATCACCATCATCATCATCAGACTCATCCATCATTTACCATCACCATCATACTCACATCATTCCCTCTCCATACCGTGGTCATCACCATGGCAATAATCATCATTGCCTAATGCAGGGGGTGGTCTGGCGCGATCGGAGAATATAAGAAAACACTATTTGGATATAGTGAGTAATACTGGCCATAGTACGTCTACTACAGCGACTACTACGACTACTACGATGACTACGACTACTACGACTACTACAACTACTCCTACTACGACTACTACTACTACTACTACTACTACTACTACTACTACTACGACGACGACGACGACTACTACTACTACGACTACAACTGCTACTACTACTACGACGACGACGAGTACTACTACTACTACGACGACGACGACTACTACTACTACGACGACGACGGCGAAGGCGACGACGACGACTACGACTACGACTACGACTACTACTACTACTACTACTACTACTACTACTACTACTACTACTACTACTACTACTACTACTACTACTATTACCACTACTACTACTACTGCTACTGCTACTGCTGCTACTACTACCACTACTACTACTACTACTACTACTACTACTACTACTACTACTACTACTACTACTACTACTACTACTACTACTACTACTACTACTAGGCCCCCAAGACATTCACCTCGACCGCTGGTACTGGGATCGCCGCTGAGCAAGCGAGGCGCGAGCCTGCCGCATCTCGCCTTGCGACGCACATCGAGTCGGCCCCCTCCTGCGCTGTCACGACTGGCCTCTTTCGCAAAGCGGTGACCTACGCACAGCCACCGCCCAGGGAGTCCACGTCCTGGGGCCTCCTGGGGCTCGGTGGATTTGGACACACCTGGACTCCAGGTGGCCCCAAACCCATCCAGATCCACCTCCCCCGAGGTCCAGGAAGATCAACTACCCAATCGGTGGGCCCTGGACTCCTGCACTGCCGCGACAGGCCCGGCGTTGGGGGCGGCCGCGTGCGGGTGCCTGGTACACGGGGCTCGCTTGCAGCCTAGCGCCCACGGCACGGCGGGCAGTGCGGCGGGACCTGTGCAGGGGGGGAGGGGCCCTCCAGGAGCAGCGGAGGGAGGAGAAGGACGAGAAGGGGGGAGGGAAAGGGGGGGATGAGCTTGAGGAGGAGCAGGACAATGCTTACTGCTCCTCAACCTCATCAGCCTCCCTTCTCATACCACCATCATCATCCCCTTTTTCTCTGCTACTCCCTCCGCGATTCTGCTGAGAGTTTTTTCGACGATCGAAAATCGAGGACCACCGAGGACTGTGGACGCATTGTGTGAGATGGTATTTGGAGATGTGCGTCCATTGCTGTAGTAGTATGCGAGCGCGAACACACACACACACACACACACACACACACACATGTTTATACATATACATTTGTGTACGCCAACATTCAAGCATGAGTATGTATACATATATACACATAATCATCCGATCATGTCGGCGTGTGTGAAACGTTTTTCCGTTTGAGTCGTCGTCACCGTCGCCATTTCCTCGCTTTGCCTGGGCCCCCCTCCTCAAGGGATCCAGTCAGACGGAAACCAAATAACGTCGTAATCCCACCAGCGCTCTAGGCGGAGGTGGTTCAAAGAGCCCGTTTTGTTCCACCCCTTTTTTCTCCTTCGTGGAAGATGTTGTCACTGTTTTTTTATGAATATACGCCCGCTCCCCCGGGCGACCGGCGTGTAACCAGAAACCATGGGGGCACCATGGCGACCCTTCCCCCACAATCCCGATCAAAAAAACAATTAAAACTGCAATATTGCCTCCACATATGGAGCATGCGCGGCCAACCCAATGTGGCCCCCCATACCATCCCTGTCCATAAACAATGCGAAATACATTTCGGGGCAAACTCTTGCGTCATGTTCGTGAGGCCCGCGAGCACTGTGTTGTTTTTGACCGGGACGGCGAGGGTGTCTCCATATTCCCTGCTGCGCGCAGGGCTGCCATCCCTGACAAGATCAAATATACAGCATGCGCCTCGCGGCTGAATCTGGATCATGCGCGGCCACCCCACGATCAGGGACGGCGGGCTGAAATCCCAAGCTGCTCGTCACACAATCTGGAAGCGTAGATCGTCGGGCCACCTGTTCCGAAAGACTACACGACAACAGATCCTTAGCCGAGCCCGACCAGCTACTCTGAGTACTAGCATATAATGTAAGATCTTCCTGCTCAGGAACATCAGCCAGTTCCTGAAGCTCGGGAACATCATCAGGGGGAGGCTCGGTCTCCTCCTCGTCCTCATTGTCGGTCCAGAAATCCTCCTCCTCGTACTCCAGGTGTAAGTACAGCAGATAAGGAGGGCTTTTGATAGACAACTTGCGCACAGGTCCCCAAGCAGCTGGAGTTGGGGTCTTGACCGAACCCTCGGTTGTAGCCATCTGCGTCGGCATTGCTGCTCGAACCTTCGACCGCTTGCTCTCAGGATCAGGTTTGCGCTGCGGCCGAGCAGGGTGGTCAAAACAACGAAGGCGACGCAATATCCATGCCATAACTCTAGACATGTCGAAGTCCAGGGAAATCTGCAATCCATGATGTGACTTGCCAGCCTCCGCGACAGCCTCGAAGTCGGCCTCGGTGGGCGAGGGGAGATACTGAGACGACACCGACATGACAAGGTAAACCAGCATGCGTCCTGATCCCGCCGCGCAGGTGTAGCCTGCGTTGCACGGTACCGCTGCGACTCCACTGGAGGGCCCCAACCATCCTGAAGCCGCTACATCTTGAGGCGTCATGCCACAATCACCGACCACCAGCCACATGCCCTGAATCGTGGCAAGCAACGCTCCAAGATGGGCCAGCCCCCCAAGACCGACTTGATCGCGCGGTGAGGCAGCCAAATGTCTCAGTGAAACAACTAGAAATATGTCGCGCACTCCCGTCGTGATGCCGCCAGCTTTTTCGCGCCGGCACGCAGCGCAAGCTGCTGACAGAACTCCTGCGCATCCTGTCTCGCGCCAAGCATGCATAATATCATTAGAACCCGCTGGCAACGCGTGAGTCTCTGGAACCACGATGATGCCCGCGCGGCGCTGCTGAGCACGCGACTTGGCATGCGGCCCCCAGCCGCCCAGGTTGCGCGCGCACGGCCCCCCGATGCTCGAAACTGCAGGGCCTCGAAGGCCCTGACCCTGACCGCGCATCTGGCGCACGCGAGGCGGATGCTGGACTGGCCGGACCCCTCCGAGCGGGGGGGCCCTCGACAGGGCCCAGCACCCTGCCGCTGCCTGCCTCGCCGCCCCCTGCAGCGCCGCCTGCTGCCGCAGCCGCCGCAGCGCTGCATCAGTACCTGGCTGGCCCACCTCCATGGAGCGGTCGCGCGGCTGCCCCTGGCCCGGGGGCGGGGTCGATGGGGCCCCCCCAGAGCTGCCCCCCACCCCGCCCAGGCCAGCGCGCCGCCCCTCCAGTCATCAGCGGCCCCGCCCACGTTGCACCTTCACCTGGAACGGCGCGCCCCCCAGCCGAGCGCCGACAGCGGCTCCGCGGTCGGGCCGACGGCGGCTCGAAGGCCCGCGGCGCTCGGAGGGCCCGCGGGCACCGCTGATGACGCTCAGCAGGCACTCCGGCAGCCGCCGAATCCCCAGCTGCCCCCCGCGTCGAGGCGGGCCCGCCCCACTCGCTGTTTACTTCCTGGGTGCACCTGGCGGCAGGCCCCAGCAAACAATCTGGCGATTGAGCCCAGCCCCTCGCGCTGTCCACCCCGTGGGTGCACCTGGGGGGCGGGGCTTGCGCGCTAACAGCCGACGCCTGGGACGGGGCCCAAGATCGCGAATACGCCGTCGCCCCGCGCGTCGAGCCAGCGCCCGCGCCAGCGCCGCCGCCGGCAGCAAAGCCGCTCGCCGCCATCGCGGCATCGCGGGCGCGCCAGCCCGCGTCGCTCAGACAGGCCGAACTCGACACGTCACTCGGCGGGGCCGGCTCGGCCCCCCAACCTTCATCGGACGATGGCCCGCCGAGGGGAAGGGGGGGGCCGCCGGATAAAGGTCCGACTCGAAGTCGGCCGCCAACGCCGCCGCCCGCGCCGCGGCAAGAAAGGCCTCGGCGCCCTGCTGCACCACGGACTTGACCGCCTCCACCCTGGCCTCCGCCACGGCACCGGGCTCGGCAGCGCCCCCGCCGCCGGCGGCGGCCGCGCCCGCGGCCGAGCACGGCAGGCGGAGCAGGAGCAGCGCCTGTGCCCGACCCAGCGCCCGCGGCGTCGCGCGCAGCAGCTCCTGCCTCTCCGCCCGCGGTGGACGGCCCGTCTGCAGCCGCGGGCGGCGGCGAAGTGTGGCAGCGCTTCTTCGCACTATTATCCTTCCCGGTGGGGAGGGAGTCGCGGTGCTCTCGCAACTTCTCACGCGCGCCACTAAAGGTGTTCTTGGGCGTCTTCACGAGCGCGACCGTCACAAGCTTCTTACGGCGAACCAAGTCTTCCAAATCTAGGGAGCGAAATATCGACACCCACCCTGCCTTACAGCGCCCATGTACGCATATATTCGGCAGAGCCCGCGCATGGCCCCGAATGATATCTCGACGTCATATTTCCATCGTCGGCAAGACAGGCAGGATGCACATGGCCGAACGAGCCACGCGCGCGGGGCCGTGCAAACCTGAAGCATCCGCCCTGGAGCACGCGCAAGCAATCCGCGGCTTGCGGATATGAGCCAGCCACGCGGCTCTCGCCGCAGGCACTGGCATGGCGACTCAGCGCGAGAGGGCTTTCGTCTCGAAATACGCAAGTATTCGGTGCAACGGGTTTGGTGGGTGTATACCTCGCTTTCTTGGAACATGTGTTACATGTTTGCTCGGGTGTACAAATTTCTGTGGGGGCGTATACTTCGTTTGGGCGGGTGTACATAATTGTTTTGGTAGTTTTTTGCATGCGCCCGCTGCCCCGCGGAAAAGCGAAACGCCCCTGGAAATACCGCAGATTCGCGAGGGCCGGCCCCGCCCGCGCAGACGAGCACGAGCACCATCACTGCTGGCGGCGACATGCATGGCCGCGCGCAGTCGGCGGGCTCGCTGGGCCCCCGCGAAGACGGCCTCCGCGAAGCGTCGGCAACTCGTCGACGGCGTCCCCTGCGACCCCCCGAGGTCGGCACATTTGGGCCCCGAGGCAAATTTCGCGTCACGAATGATGAAGATATATTGGCATCTGTATTGCGGGGTGGGCGTCGTAATCTTGCTCCCGAAAATCGCCCGCGCCCGTCGCCCCGTCCGAGTTGTCGAACTCTGGGCCCAGGTTCAGCGCGAACGTGGACTCATCAAGGACGAGCTGAAATGAATCTCAGCCCCACGCGGCGGCGCCGAAGGGGCAGGCGGCGCCGCCGCCTTGAAGACCTCGGCGCGCTCCTTCGCCGCCTGAGCCAGCGCCGCGGCCGCTTCCGCGATGGGGGCCCTTGCACTTCTCGAGCTCCAGCGTCGGTCGGACCTGCTGGGCCCGAATCTTGTCGAAGGGGGCCTGGGCCCTCTGGCCTCTGGACCTGGGCCGCGACCTCCGCGACGCGGTGCGTCGCCGGGGCCCGCCCAGCGCCGCGCGCCGCCATGGACCCGACCTTTGCCGCGTCGAGGAGGCTCCGCGCTGCCTCGGCCTGCTCGCTGCCCGGCCGCGCCTCGACGATCAAGCGGCGGGCCCTTCGCGACCGCGGCCGCCCCTGCAGCGCCTTCGCCAGCGCCGCCGTCTGCCTGGGCGGGAGGGGCCTCGTCTCATCATTGAAAGGCCCCCCGCGCAGACACGCGCTGCCGCGCTGCTCGAGCTCGGGCGCCCATGCCCAGCGAGGGCACGCACTGCGCGCCACTCTGCGACCCCCCCCTGCCCTTGCCCGCGCCCCTCCGAAAGTCACGACCGCGGGCGTGCGTGGACAGGTTCCACTCGGCATGCAAAGCGGCAAAACATATTCGTTGTCGGCGCAACGGGCGCGTTCCCCTCGGCGCGGGACAACGGAAAAATACCGCTGGCCGCAGGTCTAAGGATTCCACATGATTCCATGTCAGTTGGCCACAGACCCGTTGTTTCAAGTTTGCCTTCTGGGGGCATTGTGGAAGTTGCGCGCCGCGTTCCCTTCTGACTCGAACGCCAAATGCGCGCGCCGCAGTGAGATGGCGACGAGGACCCAGCGGGCAGGCGCTACAAGTGCATAGCTGCCACCGACGGCATCAGCAACGCGGCGCGGTGGCGCTGGCAACTGCGCTGTCGGGCCGCAACGCCCGCGTGGTCGTCGCTGCCGAGGAGGCCGCCAATCTCGTAGCCTATGCGCCCCAAGCTCCTGACGTAGACGTTCAGTTAACCCACGCACTTCTCCCGGTACGTCACCTTCAGGTCGACCGTGCCGAAGTGCACCCACTGCTTCCCCGTCGCGCCGCTGGGCTTGCCGCGCGGGTCCGCGGAGAAGCGGATGGGTTCGCTCTGGTTCGCCCAGGCCCCCGAGACGACGACGGCCTGGAAGTGCACCAAGCACGGGTCGCCCATGAAACGGGCGCCCGCCGCCACGAGCAGCAGCGAGCTCGCGGGCTCCGCGTGGCGCGGCAACTGCAGGAGGACGAGGTTGCCTGTCTTGTAGATGCCGAAGCGATCCCCGAACTTGCTCGTCAAGCGGGAGTCACCAAATGCAGGGGCCGCGTCGCCCTTGACGTAGCAAGTTGTGACATTGGGGCCAGTGCCCTGTGTTGCCAGAAAATCAGCACAAGGCTGAGCCAGAAAAATAAAGCCCGTCACTGGGGAACTGCTGATGGTCAGCCCGTGGAAAGAACACGAAACAACCGACCCGTCACCGTTGACGACCTGCCGCGTAATGGCCGTACACCCTGCAAGACTTGTGCAATGGCCTGTGCAAGATTCGAGCTTCTCCACATTAGTCGAGTCTTCGGCGTACATGTTTGCGACGTAGCCATCGGCATCTGCATTTATCCCACTGTATGAGGTCGCATATTACTGTGCATGCCAGCCGTCTGCCTCCCATCCATGAACAACTGGAACATCGTTGAGCACTCAGCTGCCCTAAAGCTAGTTGACTTGGAAACGTGCAGGAGGTTCAATCCACTCGACCCCAAAATCCGACTCAGCTCCGAAAAGGAACGAGACGACACGGGGCACAGGCTCACGAACGCGCCACAGGATGGGCGCAATAAAGGATGCGCCAGGGGACGTGTCAGGGGACGTACCAGGGGACGTGCCCCGTTTGTGTCAGGGACTTGCGACGGGACGTGCCAAGGCGCGTGCCATGGGGTGGCCAGAGGACGTCATGCCAAGGCACGTTGCAAGGGGCAGGCCACGGAACGGGCAGGGGAAACGCCTGGGGACGAGCCATGAAACGCGACAGAGGACGAGCCAAGGAACGTGCAACGACGAGTGGGGTGCTAGGGGACGTGAAAGGGCACGTCACGCCAGAACGTCGCAAGGGATGCGCCATGGGACGCGCCAGCACGCCAGGGGACGCCCCACAGACGGGCGGGGTTGGACTGTGATGCTCTCTACTGCGACAAGCGTTCCGCTCGAGACTTCCTCAACAGATCCTCATGTTGGACATCCGCCTGGGCGACCTGGACACGTGAAAACAAGCGATCCTCAACACATCCTCATGTTAAAGCCTGGGCAACCTGGACGCGTGAAAACTCGCACTTCGCTCGAGACATCCTGCCCTGGACATCCGCCTGGGCGACCTGGACACGTGAAAGCAAACATACGCTAGAAACATCAACAACACATCCTCATGCTGGACATCCGCCTGGGCGACCTGGACACGTGTAAACAAGCGGTTGGCTCGACATGACGGGCTGAGAACAATAAGCGGTTCGCTCGACTTGAACAATGGAAAAAAGCGTGCCGAGAAAGACCTCCATGGTGGGCCCGCCCTCTATAATGGGCACTTCCTCCTCCTCCTCCTCCTCATCATCATCATCATCCCCCTCCTCCGCCTCCTCCTCCTCCTGCTTGCCTCCTCCTTGCCTCCACCTCTTGCTCCTCCTGCTCCTCGTTCCTCCACCTCCTTTCCTCCTCCTCGAATCCTCCTCCTCGACTCATCTTCGTCGTCCTCCTCGTCCTCGTCCTCGTCCTCCTTCTCCTCTTCGCTTGTCCCCGTCAAACGTCCGCCCTCCGCTCTGCGCACACGTAGTCATAATGATCCACACTTCTCCGGCATAATCTGATTCGTCTCCTCAATCCCTGCATCCGCTGCCTCCGCCTCCCTTCCTCCGCCTCCGTCACTTTTCCCTTTCATGATTATCCTCGTCTGACTTCCCACCTTCCCATCCATGCCCATGTTCCTCCTGCAACCCTCGGCGAAAAAAAAGTTTACAAATTTCGCCCTCCTACACCTAATGCCCCGGCCGTTCCAACCTCTCCTGACGATGACTACGACGACGATGACGACGACGACAACGACGACAAGATGACAACGACGACGGCGGGGCTTCTAAGAGGTGACAGGTGTGCCCTACGACCGTGGCCGAAACAAACTCCGTTCCCCAGTTCGGGCGATGATGATGATGATGATGATGATGATGATGATGATGATGATGCTGATGATGATCGCACTGCCTTGAAAGTCACGCATGCGTGCTGGCAGGGCCGTACCTCAGTTCAGCATTGAAGAAGTCGTCGTGTATAAGTTTACTCGGGTTCTTCTGGTTCTCGGGATACCAGTGTCGTTTTCCATCTCAGCCACACTTGTGCGCCCAGTTTGGGCTCAGAGGGACAGAGGACAAGGACGGGGGAGAGAGGAACAATGAGGATGGCCGCACCTCTCCCGCAACTCGGGCCATGGCCAGGCTCGGCTCGCGGGGGGGGGGAGGCGGCGCTCGGCCTGGAGGAGCGCCCGCGGCGCGCCCGGCGTGATCTGGGGGAGGCCGCCTCACGACGGGGAGCGCCGTGGCCTCGTCGTCGACACCGTGGCCGTCGCGAGCGAGGATCGATCGAGGACTGGAGGACTAGGATCGATCGATCGAGGACACGACGACGCGGATCGATCGATCGAGGACACGACGACGCGGATCGATCGAGGAGACGACGACGCCGATCGAGGAAGGCAGAGTCCGGAGCGAACACTGGCCCCAAGAGCAAGGGGAAGCGAGTTCTGGGGAGCGCCAGCGTCGTCGGCGGAGCCGCCGTCGACGCCAGATGCAGGGACGCGGACGACCTGGGCGCCCTGTGGCTGCAACGTCTTTGTGATGCTCTCCAGGGCTGCGGTGATCGATCACCTCCTGGTGATACGGGACCTACCGACCAGCCACAACTGGGGGAGCTGTGGCCCTCACCCCCCTGTGGGAACCCATCGCATCGACGATCTCTCGAGAGGGGTGTCGAAATCGATCGATGGGCCCCCCAGGGGGGTATGGACCACAGCTCCCCCAGTTGTGGCTGACCTGACCCAGGCCCAGCGTGTCGCGGGATGTTGTTTCGGTAAGGGAGCCCCAGACGCATGCAGCCCCAGACGCACGAGCCCCATGCACGGGGGGGCCGCATGGAGCCCCAGACGCATGCAGCCCTCAGCAAGGGGGGCCTCATGCAGCCCCAGACGCACGAGCCCATACCCTGTGACAGAACAAGACTACCAGCGCACGCTGCGGGCGAGTATTGGACTACGCGAGGGCACCTCGTGAACCATTGGCCACGTTACTCGGCAAAGGCAACGCGGAGGCCCCCACATTGCGAGCCGTGTGCGACCCCACCACCCTCTAGCAATCATGAAAGTACAACGTGTTTGCGGATGCGCCACCCCGCCGCCCCTTCGCATCGGCCTCTTCAACCTTGCGCTGCCTTGTGACCTCAAGAACATCGGAAGGAAGGGCCTGGATCACTGAAAGTACTGGCTGTGGGAGTTCGGGCCCATGGCAATCTAAAATACCCGCGGCTCGACATATTCTCAGTGTACGCTGCCACGACTCCTGGCGCTCCTGACACATTCTGCTCGCGCCGCGCATGTGACGCTTGTACCGCCAATGGGGCAAGTTGCAACCTGGCAAATGTGAAGCCCGCGGCGAGATGGCGCACCACGTGCGCCTGGCAGTCTTCGGCCACTCATGCGGTGGGAGGGCTGCTGGGAGTGAGCGAGACGGCCGTCCTTCGGGGGGGGGGGGGGCTTGACCCGTCCCCCCATGGCCCCCTCAGACTGGGTCTGCTGAGGGCAGTGCGCGAGAGACGTTCGTGAAGGGGCCCTGGGACACACAAATGAATACACACAAATAAAATGATTCCCCATATTTTCCTATATTTTCTGGATTTTTGTCTTCCCGCCCAATCCCCATATTTTCCAATATTTTCTTGGGGATCGACGATTAATTGTGTCAGTGTGTTTTTCCCCCTCCTGAAAGACGGCTCCACATGGCCGCGGGGCCTCCCAAGGGCAGCCCCCGACGAGAGGCCAGCGTCCGGCCAGCATGCATCGAACATGTGTGCGCTCTGCCGCCTCGCCCTTTCGCTCAGATGGGTTGTGCGTGGGGGCCGCCAGGGAACTCCAAAGTGGGCCAAGCGGGCCCCAAAATGGACCCACGAGGCACCGAGACGGCGCCAAGAACGCTCAAGCACCCTTCAAGAGAACAAACGCTGGGCTGCTGAGGGGCGGGGTCGGTGAAGGACCCCACATCGCTCGAATCCGAAATCTTTCAACCATAAATGTGTTCCAGGTGGCATCTCGGAGGCATCATTAAGAAGCGTTTGAGCAAACATGGCTCCACGATGACCCCAGATAGCTCAACGCGGCCTCCAATGTGGCGTAGGAGGGTCAAGGATGACTCCAAATGTCCTCCAGGATGCCTGCAAAAAGCCCCGCGACCACCCTGAAACAACTCCAAACGGCCCCGGGGCCTCCCACGGAACCCCCCAAAAGGCCAGCACCCTTCCGAAACCCAACGACAGTCAGCAACGTTTGAATTCTCAACCCTCGAGCGCCCGATTGGCTTCTGAGAGCTCAAGACCCCAAGATGGCCCAAGGGAGCCCCACGAGGGCTGCAAAACGGCTCAGACATCTTCCAGGGGCGCCCAACGAGCGCCCCAAGAGGGCCCCAAGAGACGACTGCGTTGGCTCCAGAAGGGCGGCGATGATGGGGGAACCCCCCTTCTTGGATCGACGTCCTCCAAGGTGGCCCCCAAAGCCCCGAAGGCTCCGAGGAGGACCCTGGCAGAGCCTCCATGGGGGCCCTCGCAAGAACCCAAATGACCCGAATAGGGCCCCAAGATGGACCAAGCAGACTGCAGAGAGGCCCCAGCATCCAAACACTCAAGGAAGGCATTTCTAATTCAGTCGCGTGGGCGCTCTGGACAGGGGGGGCGTGTTCCGTTTTCGGGAGGCTTCTTGTTTCGCTGTGGAAGGGGTGGATGGGGCGTGTTCCGTTGTTTTCGGGTGATGGGGACTGGTTTCGCACAACAGGGAGGAAGGGAGGGGGCGTGTTCGGGGGAGGGCTAAAAATGAGAGGGGTGGCGTGTTCCGCTTTCTGTTTTCGGGGAAGGGGAGCTGGTTTCGCGCTGAAAGGGGAGGGGGATGGGGACATGTTCTGTTTTCGAGGGGGGGAAGCCTGGAACACGGGGGGGGCGTGTTCTGTTTTCGGGGGGGGGGGGGCTGGAAAGGGGGAGGGCGGGGAAAAGGAAGCTGGATCCGGGAGAGGGGGAAGGCCGTGCCCTGTTTTCGCGGGGGGGGGGGCGTGTACCGTTTTCGGGCGGGCGAGCCATGGAATGGGGGAGAAGGGAGGCCGTGCCCCGTTGTCGGGGAAGGGGGGTTCTCGTTTCGTTCGCACCGTGCCCCGATTTCGGGGCGGGAAGTGCTTGAAAGGGGCGGGTTTGAAAGGGGGCGGAAGCCTGCGAACTCCGACAACATCGAACGTGTATGAAGATTGCGACTCTGGTTCATATACGTGTGGGTAAGCGCATATATGCACACCAATATGTTTATATATATATATATGTATGTGTACATGTCTGTGTACATGTACATATATCCCTGGAAACTCTGAATGTAAACTCGTTGTTCTCTTTGCAAAAATCAATGGTTTTTGCTGGCTGTTCTTCCGGAGCGCGTGCACTGCCGCCACACATGGCGTCCTTGACAGGTCCGACTTAATGGCGAGGGCGGACGCTCCAACCAAAGCCCCTGCAGTTCCCCCCCGCAGGCTGTCGGGAACGACGACGCCTTTCGCGATCTCCTTTTTTGCCGGATCTTCTCGAGCAAGCTGTACACGCATGCGCGGCGATTGTCTGCGAGCTGGATGTCTTCTGGTCGAACTTAGGCAAACTAATACAGGACTCGCGAGTAAGCCGCGCAATGCGATGGCAGCGCGCGTTTCAAGACACATCTTCGGAGAGTGGAAGAAACGCCTCGCCCCAGCGTTCAAGACTGCACATGTCAGTGTACTCCTCGGCCAGGGTTTCTCACTTCATCAATGTTTTGCGGCGCACCTCCACGCGTTGCACGCAGCGGCGCGCGCCCCCATGTCTGGTATGACGACGATGGTAAGTGGAAGGCGGCGCGGCTAGAGTACCAACGTTGTCACTTCCATTGGTGTAGAGGGGGGCTGAGATTGATGTCATGGCGTCGTCGAATTTCGCGCGTAGCCGATGCGCGTTGTCAGATTTCGGAGTGAGCATCCTGGCCGATGGCGCAGCTCCAGAAACGCCCGTAGGAGTTCCCTTCCGCGGACGGTCTGAAAATGGGGGCGTACGAGTCAAGTGTTTTTGTTGAGCCGCGAGAGAATGCGAAATTCGTGGCACCTCTGCTTGTTGGGTGAGTGTCCGACCTGATTCTTCTGGAACTGAAAGCACTGTTCCGCGCCGGACTTGCATGCGCGGAAGGTTCTCGATGCGACGGGCCAATCGCTACTACCAGATGCGGGGCCAACAGCGGGCTGATGGACAACACTGAGAATACAGCGATACAACCGCGATCGACAACCGTTCGGAAGTCCAGGCGCGGCAGAACTGCAAGGTCAATCGTGAAGTTGCGCGTGGTTTTCGCCGCGCGCCAGCGCTGCCCTTGCGATCTACTGCATCCATCCAAGCGTCTGCTGGCATTACCGATCTGCCTCTCGATTCCATCTCTGAGATGATGCAGCCCGGGTCAACGTCAACATTTTCGCGCGCTGCCCAGAACCGCGCGGCGCCGTGGCCAATCGCAGTCGGTCTGCGGTAGATGTCCATAACGCCGTGGAAGCTGGCGAGGTCGAGTTGCATAGGCAGACTCACTATGTGGGGCACACCATTGGCCTTGCCCCAGTAGCGAAGCGCGTTCGATGTCGCCGTTCATGAACTTCTGGGCGCCTGCCCCGTTCAGAGCCTGAGTTCCAAGCGGCGGCGCAGACTCGTCGCCAGCAGAAGGCCCCACTGGGAGGGGGGGCGCATTATCCAGCGATCGCATATTGCAACGCCCGCGCCCTTGCATATCATATTCTTCTCACTCGTACCTGTGTCGTGGCATCGGAAGCTGCGTTCCTGGATTCGCTCAACAGTTTGCGCATGTGCAGGATTCCTGGTAGCGATGGGCTCGCGCAGGCCGACGCACCTCTCTGCGGGCCTTTATGTTGTCCTGCGTGGTGCGCGTGTTTCGGCGCATGCGTGGCCATCGAAGTGGTCAGACTGCTCTGGCAGACTCGGAGAATCAATTCGCGGTCGTGTGATCTTGACGTTGAAATAGCGCAGCGTAGACAGGTGCGCATCCACTCGAACCACTGCCACGACGATGCGAGGCCATGCTCGCACGGCTTGCCACTCGCAAGTAACTCTGGCCAACGACGCAAGGGCAGAACGAGCGCGCGAATGGCGCGCTAACATCGTCAAATCGCATGCCGTAGGCGTCTCAATACCGAGCCGTGGCGCACTGCGCCCCCTGTTCTCTACCCCATACCTATACACGAGGCCGAACCAGC